TATTCAATATACAACAAGTGGAAATATCAATAAATGGACTTTATCATGACTTATTTTTTGTCTTATTTTACATACACATAATTGACATAATTTAATTTTTTTATCTATTTTATTCATTGTCCTATGAAAATCAGAGATATTTATTATATAACTATAACAGTTTTACAATGTTTGTGTAATATTCTGCATTATTATATATATTGATTATATATATTATATATGTATATATATATATATATATTACACAGAGTATATTATATATAATATATATATTATATATATATATATATATACAGAGTGACTCGCGTATCACCTTTCATAGGCAGGTAGAGCAGGTCGAACCGAATAGAAAAGTCCTGTACCATTTTGCGAAATTCTTAATAATTAATGAGAAAAAATTAATTAATAAAGATCAACCAATAAGCGCGCCTACAAGCGCGTGGCGAAAAAAGACAGCCCATATAATTGCACTGTTGCTTGACGCGTGGCGAAACGGAAGAAGGGACGCTTATATAGTGACACATTCAACTGTCATCGAATGTGTCACGGTATAAGCGCCGCTTCACCCGTGCATTAAGATGTAATTGCGTTTTATTTATATGTATTAAATTTTTCATACATTTTTAATTTATAATTTATATAAACAAAAGTATGAAAGAAAAATTGAAATATGTTTGAAAATAAGTATATTAATGATAAAATTATTTATAACAATAAAAATTGATAATATTTATTTACTATTCAACAGGATATTATCGCGTTAACTATGATGATGAAAATTGGCGAAAAATTTCAAGTTATTTAAAATCAGATAATTGCACGAAAATTCATGTTCTTAATCGTGCCCAAATAATCGATGATGCATTTCATTTAATGATAGCAGGCCAACTCAAAGCCTCTATATTCTGGGATCTCACAGAGTATTTGCATCGAGAAGAAGATTATGTGGCATGGTATCCTATGTTTAAAGCTATGGAATACGTATATGGTGCCAATACTCATCGTGTATGGGAAAACATGGAGGGATATATTACGGTAAATATTAATAAATTTCAATGAAAATATTATATTTTAAATGTTTGCATATACACTCATTGATCACAAATAATTTAAATACTTAGAAAAATATTTCCAGCAACAATAAGATTTTACATACTATTACGTCGCAAACAAATGTGCAAACAAATTTAGTTTGAATAATCACTTGAATACTCACTCGAAGAACTGTCCAAAAAGTCTATGATTTTCACTACTCCACATATTATTGTATATAACATTGTTATCGATATGTAGTAAGGTGCTTAATTTTGTCAATAAATGCAATTATATTAGCTTTACATCAATTTTACATGTTAGTAATTTAAAAAAAATTAAACATATATATTGAGTTGGAAAAATTTAATTATATATATTTTAAAACAATATATTAATTTTATATCTTATTTAAAAATAAAATATAATTGATAAATAGTTATGAAACTTTAATATCTATTAAATATTATAAATATTTCGCACAAATTAAACCATTTTTGCGTACATGTATAATACATATGTATAATTGCACGTATATGTATATGTACGTGAATAGATAAACGTTAGCGTCTTTGTCTTAAGTGAATTTGTATGTATGTTTGTTTTCTAGAAAGAGAAAATTTTAAAAATCTATTGGAAAATAATTAAAAAATATAATAATTTTTTTATATATATATATATATATATATATATATAAATATACATTTATAATATGAACAAATAAATGTATATTTAACAATTTTTAGACGAGAGTAAGATACATTTTACGCGCGCTACTTGAAAGAATCAAATATGAAGAAATTGATGATACAGACCAACTTAGAATATGTTTACGACAAGAAGCTGCAAGATGGGCATGTTTTCTCGATGACCTTAATTGTAAGGAAGTAGCCAACAGGAAATTAGAACATCATCTCTTAGATCCTACAAAACACAAGTAAATATTTCGATATGTATATATTTTTTAGCCTTTCTTAATCAAATTCTCTTGTATCGCTATAATGTTCAAATGATTTGATCAAAAGATCCGTATGTTAATCTTCAATTAAAAAATTTAATTTTTTTACTATGTTTTAGACTTTTGCCATGGTGGCAGGAATGGACATATTGTAACGGTTTGAAAACAATTACCAACAAAAGACTTGGCAATTAGTGTATAATATAGGATATAAAAATCTGACACTAAATTTATAGAATATTTGGCTTGCAGTAAAGATACTGATATAACTAAAAACTATTTAACATATAAACCTTTTTCTAAATTAGAAAATCAATATCTTTTTAACAGTTTCTTACATATTATTACGAAGCATGCGAAGAATCGAAATATCCTGATGGACATATTAAATGACATTTTTTTAACATAAGACCAAAGTAACGTGACATTTTTATAAATATTTTGTAAAAATATATTGTGTTTTATATATACATTTGTTTTTTCGTTTTTAGACATGTTGATGTAACTGCAGCATTAATTATTATTATTAATAACGTATATTCCGTAAATCTAACTGAGGTACAGATTTTATATTTATATATGTATACAAAATGTGATAATAATGCAATGTTAATAATTATTATTTAATGTTTAAATAATTTTGATAATGTTATAATAATGTTATTTACTAATAATACATTTTAGGAAATAAAGGAATACGTTATAAGGTTCAAGTTCCACGCAATCTTATCAATTGAGAAAATGAAAGAAAAGGTAAAAATAAATATTATTATGGAAAGCGAAAGAAAAAGAAGTATTGTTCTATCTCTCTTATTAAATTCTGATTATTAATTTTATATTTGTTTTGATTATTATATAATCAGTATATTGATTTTAATGTTTAATTTAAATCTTTTATATATATTAGGATTCCATAATGCTGAAGTCTGATAAAGTTGAAAGCAAGATATCAATTCGCAACTATCAAATCGAAAGACAGAAGCAGTATTATGAAACATTTTTCTACCAGCAGAATAATTACACGTTAACATACTCTTCTTCCAATCAACGCGATGAATTGTGATATTAAAAATTATCTTATAATACTTTTCTTTGTATTTACGTTTCGTACTATTTTTAAATGATAAATGTCGAATCTGTTTTAGCAATGTAAAATGTGTATAACAGTGTTGCAACATAAACAAAAAATTCGAAAAAAAATCCGTTATGCTATATGTATAATCAGAAAACAATTAATATTTCTTGACCTTATAGTTCATCACTTAGAATATAAAAGCAGCTATTATGTGTAACACATGCACTTATATACATATATTTTTGTACATCTTATAGTATAGTGTTTTTAATTATTTTTAATTACAACTTGTGATGCATTAATAATGTTTCATATATTTACAAATATACTTTACAATTTACGATTCACCGAATTTTATTTTTTTTATAACATTATACATCCTATGGTTAAATATGTATAAAACAAAAAAGTATATTAATATTAATATAGGTCTGCATATATTAAAATAATTCGAACAATAAACAGGCTATGTGATCCAATCCAGATGTTTGGATGTTAAGACAGCGAAAATTAATTTTTCGTTGTTTATAATTGTGAACGAGGCACAAAGGCAAATGTATATATTTAAAGTTTATAAAGTCATACAACTTAAATATAAGTACATCAAAAATTATTTGTGCACTCAAGGCCAGTCAAGACTGTACTATTTACAAGGAAAGGGTCGGAAGTGTCCCCCTCCGATTTTAATGAGCTTTGAATATGTTGTAGTCTAGATCAAAATAGAAGACACGTATTTTTTTATAAGTGCTAATTTGGCCGTTAAGGGGTGAAACACCTTGAAAAAAATCGATTTTTTCATTTCTCAGCAAATACCGTCGAAGCGATAAGAGATATAAACAAAAGTTTCAAATAAAAGTCTTATGGTTTTTAATGTACTTCAAAATCATGTAATCAGATTTGTCGAAAATGTCATATTTTTCGAAATCCCCCCCTCCTTTTTAATGTTTGAAAATTTTAAATTTGTCTCATAACAAAACTTATAACTCATTTAACGACAAATTCAATCATATATAATAAAGTTGTATTCCGAAGTCGCATTTTTCAGAAATAAATTAAAAATATCCCTATACACTACTATACGCCCGCTTTATCCGCCTCATGACGCTCGTTATTCACAGCGACAGATTTTTCTTCGCAAACTCACAGAGGCAACCATAAATTAGCAATAAATAATTTATGAGAATATATTTTTATAAATTATAGAAATTATATTATAAATATAATTTATAATTATATAATATATATAATTATAATATATATATTATGTGACAATATATACATATAATTTATATGGAAAAGAAATGTTTTTAATGCATGAAAAATAAAACTAGTCGGACAAGGAAAATTATTGATTAGATGCCGAGGTTAATAGATTCAATTCTATGAATAAACAGATGTCGCATTCGCGAAATGAGTTGGTGCAATATATTATTTTATTAACAACTGCGTGCAGTGGAACACATATTACTATTAAAGCGTCTATCGAATATACGCGAGCGCGATAGTAAATATATTTTATATATAATAAAATAATTAAAAGGATTATAACTTATAAAGCGAGCGAAAAAATGCGTTGGGATAAGAAGGTCAGTTGCCCGAAGTGCTGATACAGCCAGTATCACACGGCCAAGTCATCAAATAGAGAAAGAAATCACTCTTGAAATAGCGCTAAATTGCAATAAAATGCGAGGAAGGAAGTCTTTGGACTTCCTTCGCTTGCATTTTGATCACGCCACTTTAGAAATAACTGATGATTTCATTCCACCGCGTCATGCCACCGCGCGATCCCTCTCCGATAATCGTTCAGAACCGGAGGCGTTAAAAATCACCGCCTAGAAGCGGCGGACAGTCACAAATCAGTTATCAAATAATTAACAAGTGCTCGAGTTAATTAACAAGACTAGCCGTTATCCTGAAAAAACAATTGTGCCCCACGCACACAACAATACAGTATGTATGTACTTTTTCGATTTTTAAAACTTTTATAGTTTTTTGCTTTACTTACACTTTATTCAAAATTTATCTGTTTTGTTTCAATGTATTTAAATTATAATTAATTTTATTACTTTATTTAAGTTATTATAAATTATGTGATAAAAACAGTGTTCTATTTTTTATGAAACTCGGAAAACGTAACAAATTATTAATACGCATTAAATAATAAAATATTTTTGTTGCTAATAAGTATTTTTTTGCTAATATTATAAAACAAATATACATAATGTTAATAATTTTTTTAGATAATGTTTAATCCAAGAAATGTAGCAGTACTGCTATACACTGCACTGTATATGACTGGGGAATTCCCAGAAAGTCCTGTTACAACAGATGAAAATGAAACAAAAGACATGATGGAAAATATGCTTCGATCAATGTATGAAGAAGCGTTTGAAGTTTATGAAGAATCATCATTAAATTTTCAAAACGAATTGGATATACCTGAAGTAGAACCTGTAATTGATGAAGAAAGAGAAGATGACACATATTTTGTAAAAGAAATTGAATGTGTTGCAGATTGTGTACCAATAGAATATAAAAGAAATGCAGTAGAGTTATGGAGAAGTGGAACAAAAAAGTCAAGAACTCTTGCATCTATAAGAAATAGATTTCGGAAAATCACGTCATTACGTCAATTGAGAAGATGGGAGCAGCAAGTAAATCAAGGTGGCAGCAGATTTGATAAACTGAAAGAAATATCAACATATACGTTAAATAAATTTCATGAAGATATTGAAAAGGGAATAATTATTCATGACATTGATATTGCTCGATGGGCTATTCGCGCACAGAAGGAAGTACAGGGTTTGTCCGGAAAGTAATGCGTCGCATTTTTTGTGACGCGACTATACATCGCAGAGCGATGGGACCGGTTGGGGAGGAAGGGGGTACCCTTAGCTTTCCAACGGTAGGTCGCTCAATTGTTCCATGCGCTTGGAGGGTTAGGACGGCTTATCTGTGAACTCTGCTTAGTGGTCGCGTCGAACTTGTGATGGAGAAACGATAGAGCAACGCTATGCGATAAAGTTTTGCGTGAAGCTGGACAAGACGCCGCTGGAAACTTTTGGAAATGCTCAAGAAAGTTTTCGGGGACGATTGCCTTCCAATCGCAGTCAAAACAGATGGCACAGATGTTTAGAGAAGGTCGGAAGGAGGTCGCCGACGAGGCCCGCGCAGGACGCCCGTCAACATCGCGAACGGACGACAATGTGACTCGTGTGCGCCAATTATTGAATTCAGACCGTCGAATGAATGTTCGCTAATGTCGGAATTATTGAACTTGCCGAAAACGATTGTTCACGAGATTTATCGGAAGACTTGGCCATGCGGAAGATTTTGCGCAAAACTTGTGCCCAGAGTGTTGACCGATGCGCAAAAGCAAACACCGAGTGGAAGTTTGTGAAGAACTCAAGAACTCTGTGCAGATAATCCAATTCGGCGGACTTTTTTTATTTCCTCGGTGAAAGGGAGCTCAAAGGACAACAGCTCGGTCGGTTGACAAACGTACAAGCTACTTCGACGGCCTCCCTGAACAGCATCCCAGTCAAGGAGTTCCGAAATCTTATACGCATGGAAATCGCGTTGGCAAAAAGTATTGACGCAGAAGGGTCATACTTCGAAACAATTTTAAGTTGTTTTACCTATGCGATCAATAAATTCTTTTTTTAAAAAATGCGACCATTACTTTCCGGACAAACCCTGTAAATCACTTGGGTTTACAGCATCATATCATGGGTAAAAAATTTAAGCTTGCACATAATATCGTATTCTAAAAAATTACAAAAATTTATAACAAAAAACATTAGCGTCAGACAAAGATTTAGAAGCACGAAAGCAAGTCATTTATCGAAAATGTTAAATCTTTTATTTTACAATATGGAATTGAAAATGTATATAATTCGGACCAAAGTGGATTTCAATTAAAATTGTCATTTCGGTATAATTATTCCCTTTTCAATACCTTCATGGAAATTATTTAATGGATAATTCCATTAAATAAATTCCATGAATAAAGGGAATAATATACCGGAATGAAATTTTAATTGAAATCCAATGGGGGTCCGAAAATACATTTCAATTCCATATGATAATAAAAGATAACATTTTCGATAAATGACTTGTTCGATAAAATGAATTATTCCCTTTCAATACCTTCATGGAATTTATTTAATGGAATTAATCCATTAAATAAATTCCATGAAGGTATTAAAAAGGGAATAATTATTCATGACATTGATATTGCTCGATGGGCTATTCGCGCACAGAAGGAAGTAAATCTACTTGGGTTTACAGCATCATTATCATGGGTAAAAAAGTTTAAGCTTGCACATAATATCGTATCTAGAAAAATTACAAAATTATAACAAAAAAACATTTAGCGTCAGACAAAGATTTAGAAGCACGAAGCAAGTCATTTATCGAAAATGTTAAATCTTTTATTATACAATATGGAATTGAAAATGTATATAATTCGGACCAAAGTGGATTTCAATTAGAATTTCATTCCGGTCGTTCACTATCACCTATTGGTATTAAAAAAGTAGAGCGCATAGTACAATCCATATCAGCAACTACATAGTTATACTATACAACCTATTGTTTCAGCTGATGGTAGATTATTATCGCCTCTGTTTATTGTTTTAAAAGAACCTACTGAATTTGGTCCAATAGTAAAAGAAACAATGTTTAAAGATAATAATATTTTTGTCATGGCATCAAAATCTGGAAAATAACATCGCATCATTTTGAGATCTGGATAAAAGAAGTGTTTTTTCCAAATGTTGGACCAAAATCAGTGTTATTTAGATTCTTGGACTGGTCATTGTCCTGATATAATTCAAAGAAACAAACCAGATTTTATAGACAATATTAATTTGTTAACTATACCAGCTGGAGCAACGGGAAAAATACAACCTTTAGATGTATTCGGTTTTCGTTTATGGAAAAATTTTGTTAGACATTTTTCAGATACCATCATGCTTTTAGATCTTGAC